CCCTGGCCTGTCCATGGTGCGCGGACCCCGCGAGCGCCGGCGCCGCCGCTGGGGAGACGCCGCCGGGAGGGGAGCGGCGGCCCGGACGCTTCCGCCACGCTCCTCCACCCGCCTGTCGCCCAACTTAGGCGGCCGCCGCCATTAGCTGTCACCTGGCGCCCTGCGTTACCCACAAGGCCGCGCGCGGGGGCAGGGGGTGGGGCTGGGGGTGGGAAGGGCCTGCGCGGGGCGGGCGCCTCGTTTCCCCAGGCTCCGCCCAGGCCCCACCTGGCGCCGCTCCCAGTAGCCTGAGATCGGGGCTCGGTGGCCCTCATCAGACTTGGGCACGTATCCGGGCCCTGGGCTTTGGAGGTCTTGCAAAGGACTATGCGTGACGCGCTTGGTATAGGCAAATGAGGTTGACTTATGGAGACACAAGGTTTACCAAACAAAATTTAAAGTTTGGGAACATGTGGAATCAAAAACTACTTCCTCCCTTATCGTGTTCACAAAAAAAATTTCGTGAGTGGGGCCGGCCTAGGCTCGGGGGGCAGCTCTGGTCTTGACATTTGAAGCAAGAGCAGTTCTGTGCACTTTAGCCCTTCCTCCTCATCCGGTTCTTGTCTTACATTCGCCACTTCCCCCTCTACACACACACAAAGCCACCTCCCTGCCATCTGGAGGACCACCAAGTGTTCCAGCGCCGCCCTCGGAGCTTCCACCCTTGCTTCCTGTTAAGAATAACACTTAACTTCTGTTGATGAAAATTCTCCACTAGGAAACATTAAGCCAATATCTCGTGATTAATGAATTTTGGATTTAGGACATTTGCTCCCTGGGTTAGATTTATTATTCTACTAATCTTGCTTGCATTCAAAGATCCAGGAGCTTCTCCCCTCTGGGCTCACCCCTGATTTGGGAGAGAGTAGGTATGAGAATGTCTGAGCTCTTGCCTGTGAGTGCTCTAGGTATGGGCAAGACACATCTCACCTCACTTTGGCTCATCCCCTGAGCAGAGTAGCTCACGCTCATCCCAGACTCATCCTGTTCCTACTTGCTGACGTTAGCTGCAAACTGAACCTTGAGGACGTGGTCCTGGACTATCGACAGCTGAGTTAGGTACAAATATTATAGGCAGTGACTCAAGCAGTCAGTGCAGAGCACGAGAATACATTACAATTGAGACTAGAGGCACATCTGTTAAAGGCCGGGCCTCAAGATGGAGACAAAATGACCAGGCCTACATGCCTCCCCAAGGGGTAAGCAGTATACAATAATTGATATAAACCTGGTCCAACTAGATAGACCTAAGTTACCCAAGTGTACCCAAGTGGGTGACCAGGATCTCCTGACTCATCTCTTCCAAAAAGGGCCCCTACTTTTTCTATGTTCACTTACTACATGACTTGCTTCCCTATTGGAGCAATGGCTATACTTACTAATCTTATTGACGCCAGTTTTGCCCCACATTGTACTTACCTCATGATTTTATTCCCGCTTTGTTATTTCACCCATATATCTGCCTTTGAGAAGTGGGCTTATTGCTAACCCACTCTCAGGTCCCCTTCTGTGCCTCTAAGGAGCTGTCTCACCCTCAATAAAATGTTCTACTGGTAACCTCCATTGTGGAGGACTGTGGGCAACAGCGCTTATTGGGTTTCTATGGGAAGGGCTGGGAGAGACAGGATACACAGGCTGAGGATTAGCTATTTGAGTCATTTCATTGGGTTGGGCATAGAGGCTCTCGCTGTGATAAGTGGGAGGGATGGGCATGGCAAAGCTGGCCGGAAAAATGAGCGGGACCTGTCAATTACAAGATCCCAGGGCTCAGGTAGGACCCCTATGTAGACCTTCTCCTGAGCTCCCACTAGATGTGGATGGCATGAAAGAAGGCCTTACCCCCACAGGAAACTCACTACCATGACTTCCCACCGCAGCCTGTGCTGCATTTCTTAGATGTGGCATGCATGGAACGTTACTTTTTTTTTCACCTTCTTTTTCTTTTGTTCTGCCCAAGTTTGCTCTGCAGAGCTGGCTTCTCCCATACCCATTCATCCCGCAATTTTCAAATAAATTTTTGGCTCTGTTTTGGCTTGTCTCTTCCAATATTTTATTCCAGTCAAGAAGGACCTGGAATACTTTTTTGATTGGTGTGCCATTTATTTAGGAACTACCAGATGACACTTGAAGGTCTGGCATTTGGTCCCAGGTGACAAGGCAGAGGAACGGAGGCCCAGAGTATGAAAGCCCAGCAGAGGAGGAGGCTGGGTGTGTGCTCTCTGGATTGGCTGCTGGCGTCTGGAGAGCATGCTGGCCAGTGAGTGATTTACCATCTCCAGGAGTGGGCCAGATCTGGGAGGGACAGTTGCTTCAGGGTCAGGAAGGCTCCAGATAACAAAGCCTCAGAATACCGAATTTGTTTTTAAAGAATTGATAAATACATGGAAGAAAATAGTGCAAAAAAAAGTGCTTTAGAGCCTCACACTGCGGAAAGAACGCCATGCTGTGCAGGAGGCCAGCACATGAGGCATGCCAGCACCCTCCACTGAGGAGAATCCCCACGGTGCCAGGGCTGCCCAGCCCTCCACACTCTCACTGACCCACAGCAGTGAAAGGAGGATGTAGATGGAGCAGGGATGCAACGTTCCCATCGTGAGTGAGGCAGTCTCACAGGTGGGACTAGAAGGCCCCGTGAAGTAGTCAAATTTCCTCATAGTTCCAGCCCCATCCCTCTCAATGCTTCCCTTCCCTCTCTGAGATCCCATCAGGCACTGCTTCTGGGAGTGCAGAGGTAGGAAAAGATGAGGATGCATTTGTAGCGAACTTCTGTCCAAAGTTTCATTCAATAGAAAGCTGTCCAAAAGAAGCAGACTCCATGATCCATGATTATTTTCATGATATCTTCTTAAAGATGTAGTTTGACCAATACATAGGTATTGTCTAAAGCAGTCATTTCTCAGCACCTGGTGCTGGACTACAAGGAGTGGTCAAAATATTGTGAAATGTTCAAATTTAAAAATTTCTTACATGAAAAGACATGCTGCTATTAATCCCGCCCCCAATCTTCCCATTACTCTTGGGAACACACATTCTTAAACACGCTTATGCCATTATTCTTGCCATTGTCTGGAGCAATTCCAGAAATCCTCCTTCATGTCTTTTTATGGCCATCTCATGTCCTGAATCAACTCAAAATGTTTATGGCACTTTCTGTCGCAGAAGATACTATGGTGTGTTCTCATCCTCTGATTCACAGGATTTGGCACCATGTGACTTCTCCTTCCTGAAGTCGAAATGGTCACCCAAAGTTAAAATGATCATGGAGGCCAAACATTGTGAATGGATTTGGGACACTGAGGCAACCAGCAGAGGGCAACTAAAGACACCCAGGAAAGAGCACTTCCAGAACTGTTTCAGAAAGCATCAAAAGAGACCCAGTCCTAGCCCAGGTCTGGTGAGTGTGTGGGAGAGTTTCCAGCTACCCTGCGCCAGCGGGACTGACTACTGGTCCCAGCCCAGGCGCAGCGTGGGTAAGACCCTCTTCCACCCCCTTGGAACGCCCCCCACCACTGCGCAGCACGTCCCCCACCCAGCCCACCAAGTAGGAATTTCTGCTGCATTCCCAGAATCCCAAGACCCAGTCCTAGCCCAGACTCACTGAGTGTGTGGGAGAGCTGCCTCTACCCCCTACTCCAACTTGTCCCCTCCAGGCTCAGCTCAGGCCTGGCATACATGGCTGGGGAGTAACCCTGCAGCTGCAATCCCTGCAGAGAGTGTAGAGGATAGAACCACCCAGATAGTCCAGGAGCAGAACATCTTGCCACAGGGGCACCACAGGTTCACCCTCAAGGTCGGCAACAGGAAGCAGCTAAGCACAGCAACCAGACACAAGCCAGGCACAGCTGGATAAATCCTAACTTTGTAGATCTGCACCTGAACTTCAGTACATGCTAAGGTTATAACTACAACGAAGATCTACAACAAAGGTCAGAAGACAGTGCTATACAAAATGACGAGAAGGAACAAAATGCAACCTCAGAACCCAACACCACCTGCAAAAAGTGCAGAGGACAATAACACAGAACAAATTGGGAATCACACATCTGAAAGCAATGAATCAACAGCTTCTGAAATAAAGAAACAGCTACAGAAAGGTATAGAGGAACTCAGATTGGAAATAAAAAAAAGAAATCCCTGAATTAATAACATCTGCAGTAAAGAATCAAATGCAGAAGCATATGGAGGAAACCCAGGGCCCACCCAGAACAAGTGCGGAGGACACTAGCTCAGCTCAAATGCATGAATTAATAGCGTCAATAATAAATAAGCAATAGCAGAAAGATATAGAGGAAATCAGAGAGCAATTCTTTTCTGAAATAAAAAAAGAATTCTCAGAACTCATAGCATCTGAAGTAAGGAAGCAACTACAGAAA